GTCTGTTTTTTCCTGGCCAGGCGACATTGTCCAGGTCCGCTTGGAGTAGTTGGTGATCGAGGGGGCGACGGATTGGCTGCACGAAGGTGAGGTCGTCGGCATAAAGAAGGGGCGTACAACCTAAGACCCGGTTGATGTCATCGATAAATATGTTAAAGACGGTCGGGCCTAGGACGCTACCCTGAGGAATCCCTGACACGACCTCTGCCCGCCAAAGACTACGTGCTGGGTACGACCAAGCAGGAAGGACGTTACCCAGTCCAACAGGTTGCCGGATAATCCAATGTCGGAGAGTCTCTGCAATACGATGGAGTGGTCAACTTTATCGAAAGCCTGCTGGAAGTCGAGTTGGACGAGCTCGTATGGTGTACGTCCATCTAAGGAACTACTGATGGTGTGAACCGCGGTTGCGAGAGCTAGCTCACAGCTCCGACAGGGGCGGAAACGATACTGGTGCGAGGAAAGCAGCTGGTGTCGCTCAATGTGTTCCAGTAAATGTCGGTTAACTATTCTCTCCATTGTTCTACATACGATGGGTGTAGTTGATATTGGCCGGTACGAGGACACGAGTGACTTGGACAGCCCACTTCCCTTGTGTATCGGGGTGACTTGGGCAGTCTTCCATTGTCGGGGGACAGAGCCGGCACGAAGAGAGTTCGCGAAAAGTTTTGCTAGGATCGGGCTGAGTTTGTTGGAGCACATCCTCAGGAAAGCTGGGTGCACGCCATCAGGTCCAGCCTTCTGAGATGGGTTTATACGCTGCAGTGCTTCTGCAACGTCGTCTTCACGCACATCGAACGATGCAAGTGGTGAACTACAACGAGGCGTGTTGGAGGGTAGAGGTGAGGGGTTGCCATGGGTGGTCCAAGCCGATGAGAAGTGGTCACTGAAAAGTTCCGCTATAGCCCCGGGTTCTATTACCTGGCTTCCGTTAACTAAGAATTCAGGACGGGAGGATGATTTTCTTTGATTGTTTACATGGGCCCAAAAAATCTTTGGGAAATGGATGGCTTTCTCTGCAATCGACTCCATATAGGCCCTGTGTGCAGAGTAGATTAGTTTTTTCAGACTTTTCTGTGCTTGCTGCGCTGTGCTGAGGTGAAGTGGATTTTTTGTCCTACGTGCTTTCTTGAATAACTGGCGTTTCTTACGGGAGAGCCGAATGATATCTTGAGTGATCCATGGTCGCTGCCGGCCAGTCGTCATCCTTGTGGGAACACATTCTGCTTCTATGGCCGAAAAGAGATCTTTTCCACAAGAAGCCCGTCCATTCCTCCATTCGATCGGTCCTTCCTGAAGATAGTAATATTTTCCACATCCACAAGAAGCCCGTCAGGTATTGAGCGGTCAAGCCAAATTTCACAAACTGCAAATACTGTGTCCGGGTAGGATAGGAGAAGAGTGCGTAAGTCAAGCAGTTTGTTTTTCAGCGAGCGCACGTTCGAAAACCATATTCCCAGATTGGTGTTCTTGGCCGCCGACGGAGGAGAGGGAAGAGGTGGCGAAACGATGGTCACGGGGGAAGCCTGCACTGCCGGTTGTTCGGAGGAGCTGGTGGTGGAGTTCACGACTCGGCTCTGCTCGGACGGGAACAAGTCGTCGGCGAAGGGCGGAAGTTGGCATGCAGCACAGATCCACTCTGACGATGATGAGGAAAGGCGGCGATACGACGCAAAGGATACGTCCTCACATTTTCGGTTGGCAATCTCCACAACGAAGCTACGCCACGGTATTAATAACCCGCTTATACTTAGGGTTGTTTCTTGTTGTGTTTATACTTGGGGTTTTTGTAGAACCTGATGCCCACTGCACGCAAACTCTACAGGTTTTCCCGCTCATTTTAATCCAAGCGACGACCAATTTAATCCCTGGGTCACTCAATTTAATCCAAGCGCCATACAATTTAATCCAAGCGCCACACAATTTAATCCCGGGGTCAGTCAATTTAATCCACAATATATATATGGACTTATTGTGTTCAGTGGTCGTGTTTTGCTTACACATTTGGTAACTTAGAATAATTGTTTATACAATTTGAATTTTGGGGGGCAATTGAGAATTTGATCACTAATGTGATTACTTTGAGTTACTAGTCCCACTATTGACGAGGCTTAATTGATATGTTGGTTACTCTTTTTACAGCGCAGCTCTTAGGCACCTGTTTCCGGCTTAAGCGGCATCGGCGTCGCCTACGCCGTCGGCGTAACGACGCGGTGCATGGTGGGCAAATTCCCCTGCTAAATTTAGCGGAACATTTTCCCGCTAAATGTAGCAGAAAAGTTTTCCTGCTAAATCTAGCGGAACATTTTACCCGCTAAATTTAGCGGAACATTTTCCCCGCTCTATCTAGCGGAAAATATTCCCCGCTATATTTAGTGGAATATTTCACCCGCTAAATCTAGCGGAAAATTTTCCCAGCTAGATTTATCGGAAAATTTGCGCCGCAAATTCTAGCGGAAAAGCTTCCCCGCTAAATCTAGCGGAAAATTTTTAAGCTAAATCTAGCGGAATGTTTTTCCTGCTAAATCTAGCAGAACATTGTCCCGCTAAATTTAGCGGACAATTTTCTCCGCTAAATCTAGCTGGGAAATTTTTCCGCTAGATTTAGCGGGAAACTTTTTCTACGAGATTTAGCGAGAAAACTTTTCCGCTAGACTTTGCTGGGCAAAGTTTTCGCTAAATCTAGCTGGGAAAATTTTCCGCTAGATTTTGCGGGGAAAACTTTCCGCTATATTTAGCGGGAAAAAAATTTACCGCTATATTTAGTGGGAAAATTTTTACACTAGATTTAGCTGGGAAAATTTTCCGCAAGACTTAGCGGGGAAACTTTTCCGCTAAATCTAGCTGGTAAATTGTTCCGCTAGATTTAGCGGGGAATATTTTCCGCTAGATTTAGCGGGAAAAATTTTCCACTAGATTTAGCGGGGAAACGTTTCCGCTAGGCTTTGCGGGGAAAATTTTCGCTAAATCTAGCTGGAAAAATTTTCCGCTAGATTTAACGGGGAAAACATTCCACTAGCTTTAGCGGGAAAAAAGTTTCCGCTAAATTTACCGGGAAAATTTTTACACTAGATTTAGCGGGGAAACTTTTCTGCTAGACTTAGCGGGGAAATGTTCCACTAGAATCTGCGGGGCAAATTTTTCGTTAAGTCTAGCTGGGAAAATTTTTCGATAGATTTAGCAGGAAAAGTTTTCCGCTAGATTTAGCGGGGAAATTTTTCCGCTAAATTCAGCGGGAGAATTTACCCATCATTCACCGCGTGGTTACGCCGACGGCGACGCCGACGCCGCTTAAGCCGGAAACAGGTGCCTAAGAGCTGCGCTGTAGAAAGAGTAACCAACATATCAATTAAGCCTCGTCAATAGTGGGACTAGTAACTCAAAGTAATCACATTAGTGATCAAACTCTCAATTGCCCCCCCCCAAAATTTAAATTGTATAAACAATTATTCTAAGTTACCAAATGTGTAAGCAAAACACGACCACTGAACACAATAAGTCCATATATATATTGTGGATTAAATTGACTGACCCCGGGATTAAATTGTGTGGCGCTTGGATTAAATTGTATGGCGCTTGGATTAAAATGAGTGACCCCGGGATTAAATTGGTCGTCGCTTGGATTAAAATGAGCGGGAAAACCTGTAGATAAAAACCAAAAGAAAACACATAAAAAAAAAGTTGTCAATGTCATTGTCAAGTGCTCGCGCTGAAAAACGCGAATTCAAATGCAAAAAAAAAGAAAAAAAAAAAAAGAAAAAGCGTTTGGAACAAACTGGTTACATATCTGTTTTGTTCCCAACGTTCTTTTTGCACGCACCCCACGGTGCATGAGCCAGGAGGGTTAAAGACGGGAGCAGAACGCTTCAAATCCTGGGCGCTGACATCGGCGGTCCCCAGAGAAAGAACGAGAAAGAGGGTGACAGAAGAGTGGAGAAAGAGAGTAGACGTAAAATTAGGCGTGTTGGGCTTGCCGCGACAAGTTGAAGTTGTTCGAGCGTTTGTCTACTTTATTTAGTTTTAGACAATGCGCGATTCCGGTGTTTTCCTGCAAAGTAAGCTAGGAAAGAACAAGGTAACACCTTAGAGGTAATGTTTTTGCTACTTCTTTGTGCACACCAAGGCGTTGCCAGGGATATGGGCCCATCGAGACCACCAACTGGGACTGCCAATGTCCGCGTCTTTGCACGTGTCGCAAATATCCTTGTGACTGCAGTGTGGACTTTTATTTGTCCATTTATATTTTTCTGACTCCTTGGCGGGTCGCACTTTTTGGAGGCGCAATAGGGGACAGTGGGTGTAACACTGAGGCGCGTGTTAACCCCCTTCGGATGGCTCATTGGGACGAAGATTGGGCCGCCGGCGGCCCAATCTTCGACCTCCCCCCCCGCCCCGCCCCGCCCCAATCGCACGTCTGAAGAGACAATTCCCTCTTTGAGATGTTTTTGTGTATCGCAGCAGTGACGTTGTTTTCCGGAAACATTATGAAAGCACCCACCTGTTAGGTGACATCCTTCTAACAAATCAATAAAGACTTCGAAAACGCGATTTCAGCATTTTCAAAACTGCCGCTGCGATCGCTAAGAAACCGGATGCTTTGCGAATTTCTGGGTGGACGGGCATGTGGCGCCATCTCAGGGCGGTGGGAAACACCATCGTTGCGGAAGTTTGCAGCACTTTTTTCCACGTTGCCGGTACACGGGCACGCAGGCGGAGAACCCGGAGAACGTAAAAGAGCGCGTTACGTGACGTCATATAAAACAAATTTGGCTCATCCGCCTGTATATGTACTTTCATGCAACGTCAAACACACTGTGATATGTTTTACCTCCGTTTTTTCCTTCATAAAATTACTAAGATCGAGCTTATTTTTGGGTCTTTGCGCTTCTAATAATTTGGAGTGGGTGTCACGTGAATCAGCGCCGTTATTATTTTTTTTTTCGCTGACCCCGCCCATTCGTGTGATACGTGAAAAAAACAAGAAGAGAGTACGAGTCGAGGATTCGCGAGATCGGTGGTCGTTTCAGCTGAGCCAGCTGTGCACGTTGGAGTGCTTCGACGTCGAGTTTCGTCGTGGTGTGTCTCTCGCTCCACCGAGCAGTGGTCGTTGCCTGTGTGTGTGCCGTGTTGTGAATCCATCGCCAGTGCCTCTTCTCTGTCGTGTCAGTGACAAAAATTGCGAGCGCGCGTGGGGCTGTCATCGGGAAAGATATGCCACGAGCCTTCGACGAGTGCCCACCGAGTGGATTGCCGACGGCAGCGACGGAATCGTCCTACCGTGGTCGTGCTAGGCCTACCGTGAACTGACAGCCAGCGTCAGCGTAGCACACTCGAGCGCCCACCGTCTTCGAGCGAGTGATCGCTGTGTTCTTCGACACGTCGGATGCCCGTGCTCTGAAACGTGAGTGCTCACACTTGTTTTGAAAATCCAGCGGCTACGGTAGCTTTACGTGTTCTTCGAAGCGCGCGAGGTATTGGAAAAAGAAAAATAAGCAAGAGAAGTCTCCCAGCGGCACGTTTGATTGATTGAAAGGCACGCCTCTATGACGCAAGTGTTGCGGGTGCATTGAAAGTTGGTACTGATCAACAATCTCGACGGTGGAGTTGTGTAGCTGATTCCACATCGACAGTTGTCACTCGAAAGCTACTTGCTAATGACTCCGAAACATACCGCGGGACAGTTGAGCTACGTTTTTTTCTGAGAATCGTATGTGACCTCGAATGGAAACTATAAACAGTTTATTGGAAAACGTCCCGGCGCTGCCGTCGTAGTTGCCACAGTATTACTGGCACATGCCATCTACTTTCACGGCCTGCAAATTCCTACAAAACACCCTCGAATCGACCCTTTATTTACTTTATATATATATATTTATTTATTTACATACAGGATACTGCAAGCCATTATTGCGCCCCAGTAGTACTTGGCGGAGGGGGGGGGGGGGGGGTTGTAATAATTAGGCAGAACGACCATATCAGCGATTATACAAATTTATTTTATTATTTACTAAACAACATATCTTGCCGGATTACCCAAGCTTCCGTACTGCGAGTGTTACACGGGCTACACGAGGAGTTGTCTGCTGCAGGTACTGTTCAAAATCGAACATCTCAAACGAATGACACTTTTACACGTCCGTTTCTCAACGTTTTATTTTTGGTTACGTACATACTTCGAATCTCATCCGAGTAAGGTCCGAGTATTCTCCTTAGGGCTTAGGTACCTAAAATGTCTATTTTGAATCGAATCATATCACGTCAATCTTTTTTTAAATTTTTATGCGCTTTAGAATAAGTAACTAGTGTAGAGACTTGTATGGCACCGCAAGCAGAGCATATCCAGTTACTCCAGAAAAGTGTATCTCTTTACCACGTCTAGCGATGGCCTAATCATCTCGTGAGCTTTTAATGGCCCATTAAGTGTGCCTTTGCGAGGGCGACCGCGTAGACGTTCCGTTGAACTCCGAAGGGGGCGACTTCCGTCCACTCGACTCTGTTTACGTTCTTCTTACCTCGTGGTGTCGTACGAGACGGGGCGTCTCGTAGATAACGCCAACAATAAATTTATCTTTCTACATATAGAATTGGTGTCCCATCAGCTAATCGAAACATACTTTAAAAAAAAAAACCAAAAAACAGGAACGATTAAGAAAAAAAAAAAAAAGAAAAAAAGTCAGTTCAACCTAAATTTAACAACGACAATGGTTTGTATTTGTATTTACTAGCCATTGGTGATGTGACAGGGCTAGAAGGTTAATAAAAGAAAAACACCTAATCATGGCCCCTTCAGCCCCGAAGGCAGCCGTGTCATTCATACCCTTCAGCAGCCGTATCATGCTCTATACAAAATGCATACAATACGATGTAAAAAAGAAACACGTTTACACATTTTTAGACAATATTCACGCTCATATTAAAAAAAAAAAAAAAATGTTAGCCCGTTTTTATTTTTGTTTTATTTATGTTTTTACAGATAGAGCATGTTTTGTTGGTTCAGAAGCTGGGAGATTTGGTGCGTTAAGTTTGTTCGTTATCGTTTGTGAACCTTCTGCCTTGACTATATTTGGTGCGTCGTAAGCTACATCGAGTATCTCTTGGTGCCATCCGGCTTTAAAAAAAGGGACAGACTGTCAGTTTTGACATAACGAGGAACGACTTTCGAATGGTTGAAATGACAGCTGTGTGTGAAAATAAACAGCCGTGTCAACTCTCGGAAAAATAAACAAAAAAAAAAAAAGTTTCGGCGGAAGATTTTTTTTCCCTTCTTTTTGTCGTGTTTAATAAATTTGGCGAGAACTGACAAAATAATGAGACTACTTGGAATAGCCTAACCATGTGTAAAGTCACGTGGATCCCTCACAGGAAATGAAAGCAGCCTTCTGTTGTACAGCTGCAAAAACGTTATGTTCGTTCTACCATCGCTCCATCACTAAATGCAATGGGCCGCCCGAGTCTGCAGTCTGCCTTTCTAAATAATTGCATTGCATTGAATTGAATTGACGTTTACTAGAATTATCACGGGCCTAAAGACAAAAGGCATTTCTACCTGACCGAATCATATAGCACCCACGCTTTACAACTGTACACACGCTGTAGATACAATTTTAAAGAAATATTATAAGCAAGAAAACTTGACAATATCATGCGTATATCATATAATAAATCTCTAAGAAAAGAACAAGAAACATAAAACATGCACAACAACAAAATAAAGAAGTCATTGCAGCTCTGCTCTTCTGTATCTTTTACTTTTATTGCACAATCATTGAAAAAACAAATCATGTAAAGACGCATGTGTTGAATCAAGAATTTCGAAATACACAAAAATATTGACTTACGATTGAGGCACAAAGGACATTGTTAAGACACACATGACAGTTACACAGAAAAATAAATGAAAATGACTATTTTTCAAATGAAAAATAATATCACGTCCTTGTTTTGAGCTTCTAGTATACGCGTGCTGAGGCCTCTACTGTATCTGTTTAACATCCGTGCATTCAGCAGGACTGATTTCTATTTTTTTCTTCCGATGTGTTTCCTGTAGTGCGCAGGCACTGCAGACTGTTCCTTTTAAATCAACGATAAATAAAAATAAAAAAAAAACAAAAAAAAAAAAACATTCGCTGGTCTTTTAAAATTTCCACTCTGCTCTCCAGTATCGCGCCTCTCCGTCGAGCACCTGGCTTCCATCCCAAGCAGTGTTTTGTTGCGCCCTGCCAACTCTTTCTTCCGCACGTGTATTTCGAGAGGAGCAGATCTTGGTGCATTTGTTTCTGTCTTGTTGCTTGATGTTTGGGTCCTCCTTTACTGGAGTCGAGAGTGATAGGGCTCGGTTGCCCGGGGGATGAAGTTCTGGATGACTTTTTAGATCGGTTTCACGTGACGTAATTTCCGGCTCGCAATCTCGCCGAAAATACGCTCGCGCTGCAGGCGGGACAACTGTAGTTACAATGGTGAAATCATAGACACAGTCACCTTGTTTGGTGGTGGCTATGCTGAAAGTGTTCGCGTCAAGTTGCATGTACAAATATATATATATCTATATATATATATATATATATATATATATATATATATATAACATTACTTATAGAACTGTCTTACATATCATCACGAACAAATCACCAGTTAAATCTAGGCATCCCCCCCATTTTACCACGTCCTCATTTAAGGAATTTTTTCGTCCCCAAACCTCAGTAGGTTGCATCCGCCTTCCACCGCCCATAGTCTCGGTAACTGATGCTCCTGATTTTAAAATTGCGATTACTAACCTTCTTCTTTTCCCTTAGCCTTTGTTCCTACTTTTTTTTGTCCTTGTTTGTTGTTATGTTCATAACTTTTGTGTTAAAACTCACTCCCCTATGTAACGCCACCGGGCCCTGAGAGAAAATGAAATAAATTAGATGAAAATCTCCGGACGAAGTCTTTTTGACAAAGTTGAACGTTAATTATAGCGTCAAGCGTTTCCCAAGTAAATGTAGCGGGAAAATTAAGTTAGTGTCAGGTCATTCACCAGCCTATAGGTTTGCCCACTAAATATAGTGGGAGACACACTTATATTTTTTGTATATAAC